ATACATACATACATACATACATACATACATACATACATACATACATACATTTTCCTAATACAGACATTTATGGGATCATTGAACCTACCTTCAACACCAACTTTGAACTCATGCTTTGTTTCTCCTAAATCATTTGAGGCTACACATTCATAGGTTCCTTCATCATCTCTAGTAACTTGTTCTATCTTCAAAACTTTTCCAAAGTTCTCAGTGACTCCTCTGAAAATGCTGCCTCTGTCAATCCTTCTCCATGTTAAATGGGGTGTTGGACTAGGATGAATTAAAAAAAAAGAAAGAAAATATTTATGTTAAAAAGTAACATGGGTCTTTACCCCACATTCAAGAATTCTATGTTATGTACTGTAGATTCCAACTAATGCTTATATAGATTGATGCTGCTTAAAATGAGTGGCCATATAAATCTTTTCATTAAGTAAAAATTCTGTTTTCTGCCTTATTTTAGTTTTTCTTCTCTTTCATATTTGAAATTTGAAAATTCCATATTTGCCACCTGTAAGTCAACAACAGATCATTATTTTAAATTTGCATTGCAGAGTATCTCTTTCTCTGTTGTATACGGAATTTACACAAAGATTTGGATTTTAAAAAGAATTTTTCTCTAATCTGATTTTGGAAAAGGTTAGTAAAAGGCAAAAAGGCTGAATATTAGGAGTCAAGAAATATGCTTTATGAAAACAGTGTTATCTTTGATTCAATGGGTATTGAATCTACCCATGTTATAGAAAGTAATGTTCTTTGCAATATGCTAAGGTTTTGCTGATTCCAAGCTAATCATAATAAACACAGTCAGCTCACCTCTTGTGTCATGAAGAACATGGGGTATCAGAGATAAACTGAATCTGTGTGCAACACACATGTGTATTTAGGCATGCAAAGATTTGGATTCTGCTAGCTTGTTAAAAGAAGAAAATGTCGTCCTTACTGCACTGCAAACCATAGAATTAAGGGACACAAGGCCAACTGTCCAACTGCACTGTCAAACCATAGAGTTGGGGGCCACAGGGTCTGTTGTCCAACTCTACACTGTCAGACTTGAGGGCCACAGAGATAGTTGCAGCATTTTTAGTGCAAACTACTGTACCCTCTTGGGTTTAGTTGAGTAATGGCGGTCTTTTTTAAAAAAGATAATCTTAAATCACCACCAGAAATGAAGTATATTGGAAATGCAGAAAGTTACTGGTGTTGCTTTCAACAAAAATTTCCACTCTACTTAAGAGAAAATGGCTGCCACAAAGAAAAGGACAAGCAGAGAAGAGTACTAAAATGTGAAGCCCCTATGTCTTCTTTTGTTCTTCAAGATAAAACTGAGGGGAATGTTCTCTTGAGAACGGTACAAGGCAGGTTGTACAAAGGCTCTGTGACGGAGATGGGTGGTTTTAAAAATTGATAAACAAACAAATAAATAAATACCAAATATAGAGTGTACTTGACTCTTTCTCCCCCTCTTTCCTGCTGTGGTTTTCCTTTTCCTTTTATTTGCAAACTCTGCTTAAGTTAAGGAATCAAGCTCCACTAATTATCTGAGATGCCATTCCCCACCCCTGCTGCCGCCAATATGCCTTTCAGCAATCTTTTCATTGCTATATACTCATTTTTAAATCTTCTCTCATCTCCCCTCCCCTTTAGCTAAAGCAGGTCGCCCAGCAAAATGTGGTTCCTATTTTCCACGATCTCAGGAACAGCAAAGCCTGAGATAACAAATATGCACAGTTACAGTTGATTGGAGGCATCATTTAATTTCTACTGTAGTTTTCATTTTGCATTTTGAATAGAATTACTCATTTTGCCCAGCTAAATAATTAAAATCTGCTATCTTTGCTCTCCTCTGAGGAAATAACTGAAACACTTGGATTTATGTATATTAAGAAGAAGAAGAAAAACTAATGGAAGAAACTGTTGTATATGTGGTAACTGGATTCAGTTCAGTAAAATGGACCAATGTTTAAAGATCCCTTTATGAATATGTATCTGAATTCTGAATCACGCTGATAGCTTAATGGTAACATGTTTGTATTCTAAGCCAACTGACTCAGTTTGGCTATCACACTAAGTAAATCACCAGCCATATACCATATTTTTTGGAGTATAAGACGCACCTTTTTCTCAAAAAAAAGAGGGTGAATATCTGGATGCATCTTATACTCCGAATGCAGCCCTGCCCAGCTTCTCAAACAGAGGTTTCAGAGGCTGAAAAAAGCATCAGAAAAGAAGCTTCAGAAAAGAAGCCCCCAAACAGAACTTCAGAAAAGAAGCCCCCAAACAGAGATTCAGAAAAAAAAGCCCCCAAACAGAGCTTCAGAGGGTTTTTTTTTTTTTCCTGAAGCTCTGTTTCGGAGGCTTTCAGAAGCAGGAAAAAAAGCAAAAAAAGAAACAAGGCACAGAGCTCACAACCAAGGAACCTGTGGCTAAAATTCACCTCTGAGAAGAGCTGATTGCGGTATTCTGGGAGGCTGATCAACATGGCAATCAGCTTTTTCTTATTTTCCTCCACAAAATCTAAGGTGCGTCTTATACTCCGGTGCGTCTTATACTCTGAAAAATACGGTAATCATCTGCCTATTTTCTTGCAAAAACCTATGGGATTTGTCTTTTCTGGAAACTATATTGTGTACTCTGCAAAGTAAGTAAAAATATATACAACACTATCTAACGGCTACTATAGATTAAAAATAGTCTAGAATGCCACTGAGAAGTTGAGCTTATTTCACCCAATCCACAATGGCTTTATAATGATAAACGGGGTTAAAGATTTTGCTGCAAGGGCAATAATCAATTCTTTGTCTTCTTAGACAGCATGAATTCTCCAGACAATTAAATATAAAAGGAACTTTGTGTTTTGCAAAATTACTGTGAACTCTCATAACAAGAAAGAGAGACGTTAAGGCCAGGCTGCTAGCTTAGCATTTCCAGCTGGCCTTGCTATTGCCAACACTGTGTATGGCATAAGCAGAGCAGAATCATGTCAGCTTATTCTTGTGTCCATCTGTTGGGATGGCAGCGTGCCAAGGGTCAGGTTACTAACAGTTCCAAGTTCCTAAAACATATAATAGGGCTGATTATAGGACAAAGCCCAAATATTTACAATATCTTCCTGTAACTTTAGGTATCTAACTTTAAAAAAAAAAATCAATTACTTTTGCTTCCTTGTTGTAATTACAGATAGTCCTCAACCACAATTGAGATCAAAATTTATGTTGCTAAGTGAGACTTTGCTTGTCAGAAGAGTGCAAAAGGTGATCACAAGACCCCACATATTTATGAACCATCATACATATGAATCGGTTGCCAACCAGCTGAATTTTGATCATGTGATCATAGGGTTGACACAATGGCCATATCCCATTTTTTCCAGTGCTGTTGTAACTTTGAACAGTCAATGATTTGTTATAAGATGAGGACTAATTCGCTGTTATTTTTCAAAGTCAGTTCTAAAATACAAATACTCACAGTCCTTCAGCAATGCATTCCAGAAAAAGATCCATTCCTTTCATAAATGTCACTTCTGAACTAGAACCAGAAGATTCAGGGATAAGTAGCTTGGGTTTTCTTTCTTTGATTAAATTTGCTAAAAGGGAGAAAAGTAATTTCAGAACTCTCAAAATAAGATGGATTCAACTCTTCCTTATTCAATCAGTCATGGTCAATAAAAATATCAGTGCTAATTCATTCACATATGCTCTACATATTATAATGAAATATTCTTTCCTGCTAGGCCAATTTTTTCATCTGCTTTAGAATGTACTTCTAAAATTTGCAAAAAAACACTATACAATAGAATGTGGTACATTAATTGCAATTTGTGGACAAAATGTATGAGTGCAGCATATTTTTGGCATTGTAGGAATAGTACAATTAGAATTAATTGTAAAATTTGTGGGCTCCAAATTACAAGGTACAAGCTTTGAAAGTGAGATGAAATGGCAACATTTAAATAAACTCCTATGATGGGGACAGTGGTGGGTTGCTACTGGTTCTACCCGGATCAGCGAAGCAGTAGCGGTGGTGGTGGGAGGCTCTGCCCACCCATGCCAGATGCTTCTGAGCATGCTCAGAAGCTTCTGCACATGCGCAGAAGCTTTGTGCGAGCGTGCGAGCACTCACGAGTGAATTGGTAGCGAGGGGTTTTGCAACCCACTACTGGATGGGGAGGCTACGAGGAGGAAGAAATATTGGATAATTTTCAGGGTTTGGGGATAGTGGAGAAGAAAGGACTTCCTCTTCCTGAGACTCTACCCCTCAGTGTCATCTGGCCTACTAAAGATTAAGATAGAGGCTTTAGGAAGAAGAAAAGTTATATTTTTCATCTTTCCAATTAGCTAGCATAATTATGGTTCCACTTCCCCAAAAGAGATTAAATTGTTTTCCCCTATGAACATGGAAGAAACATGGAAATTATAAGCAGGAAGTGATTGGGAAAACTCAATAGTATCTTTTGGCTTAAGTTTCTTGTTAAAGATTTTGGAGGAAATCTATGTGGTCATTAGGAATTCAAAACAACTTGGTGGCACCCAATCATTAATCCATTTTATTGGAGAAAGGTGGGCTAAATGGGGAATCTTGGCAGGTTGGACTAGATCCAAAATTTGGAGTTTTCTATTGCTGTTTTATTGGGTAATCATAGTAGCAAATTACTCTTTTCATCTATCTGGATGGAAACTGACACACACACACACGTGCACACGCATACACATCCTGTCATTTGCATGTCTATGTGTAAAATGCCATATATTTTAAGTAGGATATTTTATTCATGTTAATCTAAACTGAGATTAAACAGTAACAACTTACCCTTAGCCGCATTAGATGAACTGGAATCATTAGTATATTTTACTGCAACAGACAGAAATGGAGACCAAATGGAAACATGAATGGTGATGAAATTTATCAAATAAATGATGGATATAATCAGACTGAGTAAAGAATTCAGATTATGCTGACGCAGACCCATTTGCAAGGTAAACTTCATTGTTCTACCCATGCCTCATGAAACTGAAATTGTTAAAATTATCCTCCTCTGTAAAAATGGAATGGGGAGGAATGCTGTTTGAATACAACTAGATTATTCTGTTGATCTCCTGGACTGAGATCGTATTATTCTGACCTAAAACAAATTCCATAATTGCTGAAGATGCAATGCAAGCATGCATAGTGATAATGAACACAAGTACAAATGACATAAATACCAAAAGATCTCATATTTAGCTAATATTTTAAAATGCTTTTCCATCATGGTCCTTTCCGTCAATCCTTCAGCAGGCAGAAGATTGTATTGATTGATTGATCAATACTTAAAGCCTGTTCCACTCTCGGAAGACTCTTGTGAAACCAAATCACAATAAAACCATCATCACCCAAAATCACAAAATAAACATATGCATCTCACAATGTGTTAACTAGAGCTTCAATTATTGCTGCTGCTCCACTACTTATCACTACTTATGTTGTCATATGCAATGGGCAATATGTACACCTGAATGCTATTGCTATTATTAGGTGGGCTCCTTTGGCCCAGGCAAGAAAAACAATTCTACAAGCTTGTGATGAACCTTCAGTCTGGCCATCTATCACATCTGACCCGGCCTCTGACCCGGCGCTGATCTCACCTGGCTCCTTGGTTTACTGAGGAGCTGAGGGAGATGAAGCACCAGAAAAGACACCTAGAGAGTAGTTGGAGGGCCAGTCGTACTGAATCTGACCGGACACTGGTAAGATCTCATATTAAGAATTACCTAGTGGCGATAAAAGCAGCGAAATGCACTCATTTCACTGCTCTTATTGCATCATCAGATAACCGCCCAGCCGCCCTGTTTAGGGTGACCCACTCCCTGCTCCACCAGGAAGTGAGGGAGGACCCCTTGGAGGGAAGAGCCGAGGATTTTGTTCAGTATCTGTATGACAAAATCACTCAGATTCGGGAAGATCTGGACTCCAACTGGGTAAATCCAGCGGGATTGACGGAGGCAGGTCCTGACATTGTTATCTGGGATGAGTTTGATCCTGTGATCCCTGAGGACATGGACAAGATTCTGGGTAGACTGAACGCGACCACATGTTTGTTGGACCCGTGCCCCTCCTGGTTAGTGCTGGCTTCCCAGGAGGTGACGCGAGGCTGGCTCCAGGGGATTATAAATGCTTCATTGAGCGAGGGTGTCTTTCCCGCCGCCTTGAAAGAGGCGGTGGTGAGACCTCTCCTCAAGAAGCCTTCCCTGGACCTGGCAATATTGGCTAATTATCATCCAGTCTCCAACCTTCGCTTTGTTGCGAAGGTTGTTGAGAGTGTGGCTGCGCGACAGCTCCCCCAGTACCTGGATGAAGCGACGTATCTAGATCTGTTCCAGTCGGGCTTCAGGCCTGGGTACAGCATGGAAATGGCATTGGTCGCATTGGTGGATCATCTCTGGAGGGCTCGGCACCGAGGTTGTTCCTCTGTCCTGGTCCTATTAGATCTCTCAGCAGCTTTTGATACCATCAACCATGGTATCATGCTGCACCGGTTGGAAGAGTTGGGGGTGGGAGGCACCGTACTACGGTGGTTCTCCTCCTTTCTCTCCGACCGGTCGCAGTCTGTGTTGACAGGGGGGCAGAGGTCGACCCCGAGGCCCCTTATATGTGAGGTGCCACAAGGATCGGTCCTCTCGCCCCTTTTGTTCAACACTTATGTAAAGCCGCTGGGCAAGATCATGGTTTCAGGGTGGAGTACCATCAGTACGCTGACGACACCCAGCTGTACATCTCCACCCCAACGATGCCCTTGAAGTGATGTCCCGGTGCCTGGAGGCCGTATGGATCTGGATGGGGAGAAACAGGCTCAGGCTCAACCCATCCAAGATCGAGTGGCTGTGGTTTCCAACGTCCCGATATAGTCAGCTGGTGCCATCGCTGACTAGTGGGGGTGAATCATTGGCCCCCACAGAGAGGGTTCGCAACTTGGGTGTCCTCCTGGATTCACGGCTGTCTTTAGAAGAGCACTTGACGGCCATGACCGGGAGGATTTTTCATCAGGTTTGCCTGATCCACCAGTTACGTCCCTTTCTGGATCGGGACTCGTTACGCACGGTCACTCATGCCCTCGTCACCTCCCGTCTGGACTATTGTAATGCTCTCTAAATGGGGCTCCTCTTGAGGAGCACTCGGAGGCTCCAACTGGCGCAGAGTGCGGCCGCGTGGGTGGTGATGGGAGCGACGTGGCGCTCCCATGTAACGCCTCTCCTGCGTGAGCTGCACTGGCTCCCGGTGGTCTTCCGAGTGCGCTTCAAGGTTTTGGTTATCACCTTCAGAGCGCTCCATGGCTTAGGACCTGGTTATTTGCGGGACCGCCTGCTACCACCAAAAGCCTCCCACCGACCAGTATGCTCCCATAGAGAGGGGCTCCTCTGGGTGCCATCGGCCAAACAATGTTGACTGGCGGCCCCCAGGGGGAGAGCCTTCTCTGTGGGGGCACCTACGATCTGGAACGAGCTCCCCCCGGAGATACGGAGGATCCCGAATCTGCGTACCTTCCGTCACGCGCTTAAGACGTTCCTATTTCATCAAGCTGGCCTGACCTAAATTTTCCTCTTTTAAATGGGAATTTTAAATTTGGTTTTAAATTATTGGGGTTTTAAAATGGTTCAGCCAAATCTATTTAATTGGTTTTATCTCTATCTTAAATTTTGCATCTATATATTTTATTTTATGGCTGTTCACCGCCCTGAGTCCTTCGGGAGTAGGGTGGTATACAAATTTAATTAAATAAATGAATAAAAATCTCACCTCACCTCTCCTCTTCCAATCCATTTTAAGGAGACAAAGCAATGGTGAAATTCAGTCAGTTCTATCCAGCTCGGGCAAACCGGTAGCACCAGTGGCAGGAAGCTCCGCCCACCCACGGGAAGTCATTACGTCCCATTTTTTACCCTCTGCTCATGTGCAGAAGGCTCTGCGCATGCGTGGAGGAGGCGCGCACACTCCCATTTGCGAACCAGTAGTGAAGGTAAGTGAATTTCACCCCTGAGACAAAGTAGTAGGTTCTTCAGGACCTACTATTGTTTGAAGGGAGGCAAGGAGAACAATGCCAGGGGAATTCCCCAATTCCCTTCTATAACATGCCTTGCACTTAGTATATAAGGATACTATCATTTGGCAGTTTGCCTATGACAACATAGGAATCAGTAGTGGGACAGCAAAAATTGAAGCTCCAGTTAATTGGTGAGATGCTAATGTTAAATTTGTTTTGCTTTTGGTGATGATGCTTTTATTGTGTTTTGGTTTCATGCTTCCATACTTTATTTTCTTTCTAATAACATAGAATTGTTTTATTTTGAAGAGCCGTGGTGGTGCAGTGGTTAGAATGAAGTATTGCAGGCTAATTCTACTGACTGTCAGCAGTTCAATTCTCACTGGCTCCAGGTTGACTCATCCTTCATCCTTCCGAGATTGGTAAAATGAGGATCCAGATTGTTTGGGGGGGGGGCATATGCTAACTCTGAAAAACTGCTTAGAGAGGGCTGTAAAGCACTATGAAGTGTGATATAAATCTAAGTTATTGCTATATGCTATTGTTTTTCTATGTGGATTGTTTTGTATAAGTTTTTGTCCTATGTGAATTACTCAATACTTTTTCTATTGCAGTGACATACAGATGTGTTGAACAAACTATGTCTCCTTATTTTTTAGATTTTTTTCCAATCGTAATGGGTAGAAGAAACAAGGCTGACAATGATAAGATAATGTATTATAATGTATTATAATAAAATGAAAAAGATTATTTCTGACTTAGGTGAATTTTTCCTGTGGGAAAAATGAATTTTATTCTACATTAAAAATAATTACAAGGGAAATAATTTAATGCTATCTTTCTTGAGATAAGTGGAGAACCTATTTATTTTCACACAGTGGCTTAGTCTTTTCAATATTTTATGTATATGTCAACATTTTGTACAATCCTATAGATGATTATTAAGATGAAAACTCCATTTAGTTGAGCTGGGCTAAATCTAAACATGTGTGGATAGGAAGAATTGTAAATGCAAAAAACGAAACAACAACAACAACAACAAAAAAAAAAACACCCAGAAATAATAAGTTTAAGTTTCTTCTGTTTAGTTAGAAGTTGTTTCATGTCAAAAAATCTTACCCCATTATATTGTTCAAATATGGTTATACAACATTTATATAACATTTGCTCGGTTGTGAGCAAAGTTCATGTGTGGCTTTGGCAATAAATAAGATGTTGAAGGATGTAGTGAGGCAGTATCTTAAGAACATTTGTGGATTATATGGGTCATCTGACATGAACCATCTAAGAAACTAGCTGGTATCATAGTAGTAATATTAAAACTGCCACCCAAGGCAATATTATGTTACTACAGAGTCCAATTTGGCAAGACACCAGGCATAATCGATGTCTTTTTCAGCAACATAAAGCATACTCTGACAGTTTCTCAGTCACAGGTAGTAGCTCCTAGCTAAACTTCACTGAGCTCATAGAAGATAAGCAGAAAAACTTGGTTACTGCTCAGATGATGTATCATCAGGAAATCCCAGTTATGGACTTGACAAGGAATTTTTTAAAAAAAAAATCCAGTGAAAAAAATAATCCCAGAAGGTAATAACAAACTAATTCCATATTTGGGGGGGGGGGGGGGGAAGCAAGGGAGATTCAGGCGGTCACCAAAATTTGACATTACTTTAACAATCCTCCCAAGGTGATTAATCAAATGAAAAATCATTCAGAAAGGAACTTAGGTGGTATTTGTCCTATAATAATTACATAAGGAGGAGGAGACCAATCAATTTATATGTTACAATCAAGAAGGAAAAAGAAGGAAGGTGCAAATGAAGTCCCTGTCAGCCAGCCTGTTGCTTGCTGCCATAGAATAAAAGGGGAGGGAATAGGGAAAAGCTTACATTGCAGCTTTGCAACTGCTATTATTTTCAAGGCCAAGTCCTTTGGCTCTGGTATGCGCTTGCCTAGCTACAAGAGGGTTGGGCTGTATACTGTGTTTGAAGCTATGTTTGCATTTTTTTTGGCCTCATAGCTTACTTGAAACTGTCTATTGGTTTGTTCCTAATAAAAGTACTTTTCTCTAAATCTATGGAGACAAGGATTTTCTTTCCTAGAAAATGAACAGAGGCAGTCTTGACATTAAGCAAGCTATGAGGCAAAAACAAAAACAAAAAAACCCTGACAGTCCCTCAAATTTGCTAGTGGTGCTCAGTAGCTACATCCCTGCAAATCATTCTGTCTTCTCATTTTGGTGGGATTTTTTTTTCCATTCAAGAGAAAATAAAATATATTGCTGACAAGTGCCTCCAGTAAATATACCCCATGCTAGTTCAACAGGAAAGCACACATTACTCTCAGTTTCCATTTATATTAAAGGGAAATTATCATTTGGTGGCTCTGAAAAGAATTTGATTTCCATCCCAATCAGGGTTAGATTTTTATAGTTTTGAGGTTCAGAACAAAACAAGAGAAATCTTTTGGCAAGCTAGCAGCTGCAGCAGTTTTATGAGCTGGGCCTAGCTGTCATCACTAAGACAGCAGCACGGAATTGAATACATTTGCATAAATTTCTTCAGCAAAAAATGATGATAAAAAAAACAACCCATGTCACATGTAAGAATTACCAAAGGAACCAAAGGTTGGAAGCAGACATTAGGGCAGATGGAAGATAGAGGAAGAAACGAAGAAGGAAAGAAGAGAACCAGTTTCTCAGACTTACAACGTGTAACTGTCAATGTCATCGGCATTTTCTGTACAATAGTTCTTAATTTTGGAAATGCAGCAAAGCAGCAGTAATCACTACGGCTGTCATTTTCATCCACATTTGCAAAGTAAAGATCCCCATTAAGGCCCATGGAGACCCTTTCATCTTGTGGGATATGCTGCAAGTCTGAAAAGGAAAAAAAATGGTAATAATTCAGTATCTGACCCTTGATCCCAGGTAAGGAAATAGCTCTTGGGTATTAATAATGCATGTGACTTGAAAGAATATAAAGCATATTTGCTAGTTTTCCACTATGCTATGTAGAGTGGGCAGAAATCAGAAGTCGAACAAACTGCCTGGATACCCTCTTCCCAACCATGAAATATATACTGCATATGTATTGCAAGTTTCACATTGCATACATTTTTCTGTGACAGAATGCATTTTTTTTTTTTTGCAAAATAATGCACCGTTTTGATTGTGCATTTGTTAAAGAATTATTCAAGTCAGGCCTGTACCCTACATGTCATGGCTGTCAAGAAGTCACTTATCCTGTCACTTAGGATAGGCTTGGATGGCACATAACTCAAAAGTGTCTATCCTTTCTCTTTTTTTTTCTTTTTTCTTTACATTTGTGTAGACGAACTCATTTTATATGATTTAATCTCATGTATAAACCAGCCCAATGTGCTAAATGGAGCCATATACTTAATTCCACAATTTAATTCTATGTTTCAGTTTGAAAATGAGGAAGTTTGGGGGAAAAACTTGGAGAGGAGAGAAACTTGGAGTGTTTTGAGACAGATGGCGTGCTGCTAGTTCTTAGCACAAACTTCTCTAAAGGATAAAATAAATGTCACCTCACTGAATTCAGTAGGGGTCTGGCCTTGCTCCTCCTGTTTTATCATGGTTTCTTTGGTGACTTCATCCCTCTGCTGCGTGCTGATTCTTCTGCTCTATCAAATAACACCTTATGCTGATTCCTCCTTCTTCCTCACCCAAAACCCATTTAATTGAAATTGTTGTTGTCTGTTGCGAAGTCGTGTCCAACCCACCGCAACCCCATGGACAACATTCCTCCAGGTCTTCCTGTCCTCTACTATCCTCTGCAGTCCATTAAGCTCACGCCTACTGCCTCAGTGACTCTATCCAGCTACCTCATTCTCCTTTTGTCCTCTTCTTCTTTTGTCCTCAATCTTTCCCAGCATTAGGCTCTTCTCCAGTGAGTCTGAAATAGCTACACCTATTTGAAGGGACAGCTTCCCTTACCTGGATGGACCACTTATAAGATAAGGGTTTTAGGAAGTTCAACTAAGATGAGCATCTTTCACACTACTCTTATTCCTATGTCAAAGGGTTCTGTATCAAGGCTTTTCTGATTTTACCACAATTCTTGTTACCACAATGTTTTAGTATTTGTAGTAAATCTTTTTCATGTTCACAAGCTAGGTTTTTTTATTATTTCTCAGGGAGAAGGGAGGAAATGAATCCATTTGAAAATAAAGTGCAAAAGAGCTAGAAAAAGTCCACTTAGGAATTTCAGAGAAAATCAACACTCAAGCCGAGAACCTCATTTGCTTCGAGACAGGACTGGATACATACAGAAATGTCACGACTCAGGGAAAGAAATCCAAATATAATTCATTATATTTTCCTTTTCCACGATGTAAGATTAGTAAGTGTTTTAATGAACAGCATTAATCTTTGCAGCTGCTTTTTAAGTTAAGCATTAACATTTTCTAATTCATTATCTGTAATTTTCAGTTTATTGCTGCATTCTGTTAACCACAGAAAATGCCATTTATCAACCACATGCAATTTTAATTAAATTCAAATTATAGAAACACTTTTGCAGAGAGATTCCATTCATAATGATGTCAGGAGGAAACGACGGACACTTACCAATATTCATCCAATAAATATGCAGTGGTGGGATGCCTTTGGGAGGATTGCAGTGCAAAACCATTGCATCACCATGTTCTACATCAATGGGATCAATTTTCTCCTTAGGAAATTTAGGAATACCTATTGTAATAGAAGCACCACAAGAAGAAGCTAAATAGCACTTGTTAATCTTTTTCTGTTCGTGGCATTCTCTTTATTAATTGTTACCTGCCATGTTCTGATTTTGCTTGTATCATTTGTATTCAGGTGGTAAAACAAAAATTATTGAGGGAAAACTATTTTGACATATGTTCTCTCTCTGGATGACTATCCAGTGGCAATTTCAGGCATAGCAGAGACCCTAACACAGAGGTCAGCAACCTGTGGCTCTGGAGCCGCATGTGGCTCTTTCACCCCTCTGCTGCAACTCCCTGTCAAAATATGTCTCACAATCACCAATGTGCAACACCCCCGGTATGTGATTTATTGAGCTTTTCAATCCCCCAGTAGGCCAACCATGGATAAATCCAAGAAAAGAAAAGCTTCAAAAGAAAACAGAACATTTAATTCAACTACATATGATAGTTTTGTGGCCGCTCGAGAAATAGTCAGGCATGGGAACGGTTTTGTGGCTCCCGCTGTTTTCTTTTTTATGGGAAACGGGTCCAAAAGGCTCTTTGAGTGTTTAAGGTTGCAGACCCCTGCCCTAACAGTGATGTACACTTTTTTAATTGATCATGTTTACATTCTTCCTTCCCAATATATAGATGATAGATTTGGTTTTACTTTACAAATGAAAGGGGTTGGACTAAGAGACCTAATGATGTCCTTTAGCATCTTCATGGAATTTAATTTTATTAAATTATTTATTTATATCACTAACATCTAATCTATCTCCATTTTAAAATCTGGTTAAGCTTTAAAGTCTGCTAATTACTTTTATCTTGAAAACAATTATGTGAAAATAATTAATCCCACAAATCCCTATTCTCATGCAATTACCATCCTGAGATTATCTTCAGAGTTGACCTTCTAAATTTCCCAAAGTTGCTATAGCAGATAGACAGAATTATCTTAATTCTAAAATATCCTCATGAGTTCTTTCCCCTAACATCATGTTTTCCTTTCCTATCCTAAATATTTAAATCTTTTAAATTCTGTTTCAGTCTGCTGTTTTTTGGTTGATGGTTATATTGTACTTCAAAGTTGTATTGGTATTGAAACCCAACTAGTAAATGTGTAAATATGACTTGTAAATAAATAAGTAGACAAATACAGTATCACTTTTACAGTCCTAAGGTTTATCAAAATAATCAAATACTTTCCAGGGTATGCCTTTATTGACATTCTATAATTCCTTGAATTTTCAATACAGCCTCTAACTGTAGATAAAGAGTTAATAGCAGCATTAAAACAAATAATGATATACCAAGGATGAATCACATTACCTTGTTTTAATTTTTTTTAAAAAAAAACCTTCCAGAGTGTTATGCCTGTCATTAAGGATCACTGTACACAAATATTTATGGAAAGAAAAGGAAAAAGAAAAGTCTCTATGTATGAAGATTTAAATTAAACCTTGTTTTACATCTTTGCTGAAAATCTCCCAACCACAACTTCTATAATATGCTTGAGCTTCGCAATGGCTAGCTGCCAGTTTTCCATGAACTACGGGGAAAGGGAGTTGGTCGGGAGTGGGGAAGGCTAACTACTCATCATACCTTCCAGAGACACATCTCAATGTCAAAGTGCTGGGAATGGAATGCAATGCAATGACTCACCGACCAGCTGGACATTGAAGAGACATAACTTATTAAAATATAATTAGACAATAAGGGATCAGAAATGGGAAGGAACTGGACAGGGAAAGCTAATCAGGAAAATTTGGCCCACGAACACAGGCTAAAACTGAAGTGTCATATTACCAAAAAGTTGAGTGATTTTTTTAAAAAGAAGAATGTTGAAAGCAAACAAAATCTAGTAATAAATTTTATGAAGGTTGTACTGTGAATACTTCTATTAAAACTTAAAACTTAACCCAGACAAGACCGAGTGGCTGTGGGTATTGCCTCCTAAAGACTATGTTGATTGTCCATCCTTGGTTCTAGGGGGGAGGGGGAGAAACTGTCCCCCTCAGAACAGGCTCGCAATTTGGGTGTCCTCCTAGACTCACACCTAAGATAAGAGCAACATCTGACAGCTGTGGCTAGGGGGATCTTTGCACAGGTTCGCCTAGTGCACCAATTGTGACCCTACTTGGATCAGGAGGCTCTCCTCACAGTCACTCATGCCCTTGTCACCTCACGGTTAGATTATTGCAACACGCTCTACATGGGGCTACCCTTGAAAAGTGTTCAGAGGCTACAGTTAGTCCAGAACGCAGCTGCGCAAGCTGTCGTGGGTGCACCTAGATACACCCATATTACACTAATTCTCCGCAAGCTGCAATGGCTCCCTATTGGTCTCCGGTCACAATTCAAGGTGTTGATTATTACCTTTAAAGACCTACATGGCTCAGGGCCAGGTTATCTTCGAGACGCCTTCTGCCGCATAGCTCCCAGCGACCGGTAAGATCCCACAGAGTTGGTCTCCTCCGGGTCCCGTCAGCTAAACAATGCCAACTGGTGGGCCCACAGGGGAGGGCCTTCTCTGTGGCTGCCCCAGCTCTCTGGAACCAGTTACCTCCTGAGGTCCAGACCATCCCCACCCTATTGGCCTTCCGAAAAGCGGTGAAGACCTTTTCCGGCAGGCCTGGGGCCGTTGATCTCGCTCTTGTGATCTGGCGAGATCCGGTCATGAATGGCATGAATGAATTTTTAATGTTTTTAATTTTTCATTTTTAAATGTTTTTTTTTATAATGATTTTTTAAATGTATTGTGAGCCACCCTGAGTCTTCGGAGAGGGGCGGCATATAAATTGAATTAATTAAATTAAATAAAATTAAATTTAAAAAAAACCAAAACAAATCTCCTTTCTTTATATCTGTCGAGTTCCATAGCTTGAAAGATCAGGAATTCTCCCTCAACCACATACACACAGAGAGAGAGATACACATACACAGAATACTCTGTGTGTGTATGTACATATGTGCACGTGTGTATGCATGTATCTTTAACTATCTGCCATTGGGGCCAGCAAAATAACTTGACTGGTTCTTGTTGATCCCTTTCCAAAATGAACAATGTTTAGTATGGAGAAAGATCTCAAGGACATTTGGACTGGGAAGGAAAAAGAAGTGGTGGTGCATTTAGCCCTTGGCTCACAATTGTAGGAGCCATATCATAATGCTGAATTGGAGGAATGTGGTCTAAGACTAATGGGGAAAATAGAGCTCTAAGTGTATCATAGATTTAAAGACCATCATCTTAAACTATGGGAAGCCATTGGCAACCAATGCAGATCTCTCATTATTACAAGCTGGACTTATTATACTGGCTAGCAGCCTGGCTGTCACATTTTGCACCCATTTGCCATTTCTGTATACTTCAAATGTCATGATCAGCACCAGACTCCAAACAATGTCTCCTCCTTTTGGCTACAGGAATAGATTGAAAATTAAACGTTACAGGATCTCTCAATTGCACAGCTTAGTAGTTAGTGCCTTCAGCTTCCTAACAGTCTTCCATTATGCACCAGAATATAATTATACAATCCAATACTTCCCTCTATATTTACGTAAAATAATTTTGAATGTTCACTCAGTTGAAAGTGCATAAACTCTTATTTATTTCAGCTTCCCTATTTTCATCTCTATAATATTGTAGGGCTATTCAGACTTAAAATTTGTGTAATAGCCCTTTTTATACATTTGCATTTTCATTGTGTTGTTGGCATAACTGGAATGTGTAAACAGGACTTTTATTTTCTCCTTCAGCAGGATCCTTGTTTGACTTTGAAATCCCGCTGTCACTGAGCAAAGTGTAAACCACTCAATGGTTTCCTTGGCATAATTGATGTTGAAAAGCATGACTTGGTGCAATTTCTTTCTCTGTTCACTTTTTATACGGATGGTGAGTTGCCAAGCACCTAGTATCTTCCTTCAAAATTGTGGAGAGATGCCTGCCAAGAACCATGCTATTATCATGATGTCATATTTATCAGGCTATGCTTTGATTGTCTTTGTACATAAAAGGAATTGATTTATTTTAAGGTCCTCTACAACCCCACTTATCAAATTTGGCCATGCAGAATAGCATTGTTTAGGTACTAACTCAGCTAAAGAGGAGGTAGGACAGCAAAGATGGACCTTTCAAAGATGCTAAGATTTCTCTGTGATAATCAAGAGTCCATGTATTTGGATATGAAGGGTGATGAGGTATGAACTAGGCATACCACACTATTTTTTTATACAATCTGATATAATCTCACTCTTTCTCTCATCACTTCTTCACTCTGTCATATATACAGTATATCCCCTTAAAAATGTTAGAAATTTTGTTTTATTTTATTTTCCTTGTTTTTAGTATATACACATACACATTTAGTATATACACATATCAACATATATAAATAGCCACGTATTAGTTAATGGATCATCCAATAGGTGGAGCATAAAGAACATACATGGAGCATATAGATATTGGAAATGAATAAATACAGTACATTTTATTTCTTCCCAAACACATCAGGTTTAAACAGAGGTGAGTGGTGTGCAAATTTAAGTAATAAATAAAATAATTAAATTGGGTTATTTGTTCTTTCACATCTAAACTGATCTTTAACAGCTAAGTATGTGATTATTATTGAATGAGAAAACCACCAAAGAATACTGTGGCTAAGACTATACAGGGAAGAAATCAGGAATAAATCAATATCATACCACTTATGTATAGTTGTTCAAAATGCCATATATATTTGGCCATGAAGTACTATGAATAAAGGGGAATTTTCCTTTTCCTTTGCACAAAAAGCCATTTATATACAATTATAGACAAATAAGTGGCTTTTCATTTATTTATGTATATAGAAGCTTAACAAAGCAGTTGTTCTAGAGCAGTGTGTCAGGGTTCCAAGTAACACCCCCAATTAAAGAAGACTCCAAGGCTAGCAAGTCCTCAAAGATCCATTTTATTAGAGATGTCATATTGGCACATTTGGGAAAATCCGAATCTGAAAGTTCCAGGGGTCGGTCCTCTCACCC